GTTCCCTTAATTTTTTTGAGCAGTGTATATATATATATGTATATATATTTTGTTTTTAAACATGGGGGATTGGAAGTGATGCAGACAATTACATTGATGGAAGTTACAATCTATCTGCAATATTAAGCTGATCTACCCCCCGAAAAAATTAAAAAATTCTGAACCTTTGTAGAATCCAAGCCCCGAAGAATGCAGGCTGTTCTGGAGGCAAAGGGGGGGGTCCGACCCGGCACTAGATGGGTGTACCTAATAAACTGGCCTGTGAGTGTATATTTTTGGTTGCTGACTCTTAGGGTCCATAGGATTACTTTATACTATTAGATACCATTCCACCTATTCCGCTCCAGCCATTAGCACCAGCCCGTCCTCCCCAATTAAGGTGCCACCAACCTCCTGTGTCCATGAGAGCACATTTTCTCTCCCCTGCCTTCCATTAAGCCTGTTGTTTTTAGTATAATTGTACTAAATACTTCTTGCCAGGTTTACAGGATATCAGTTGATTGACGGTATCCTCTGAATAACACAGCAATAAACTTCATTTGAGCCCTCTCAATATGAAGCTAATTCATTTTTGTTTAAGTAGTAAAACAAAAGCTCCCATTTTGCTCTTATTGGCTAATCAAATTGTGGTCATACACAGCACATAGAAGCTAGAGTACAATTATGAATATCTACCTCCACATAGCGGTAGGCATAGTAGTCATCATACATACTTGCATTGGTGTATCTCTACGATGGAATATGCATTGTGTGCATGTAGGTTCTTAAGTGTGTTTAAATGTATGCTGTGTGATTTGGTTGGTTGAATAAGAGTGTCAGTCCAAACAGGTCTACTAGTACATAATGTACATCACAGGAGGTTGGTGGCACGCACCTTAATTGGGGAGGACGGCTCAGTCATGGCTGGAATGGACTAAATGGAATGGTAATCGAACTTATCAAACACATGGGTTCTATGCGTTTGATACCATTCTATTCACTCCATTCCAGCCATTATTATGAGCCGTCCTCCCCTCACTAGCCTCCTGTGATGTACATACTGTACTCTCCTTGTGGGGACCTGAGAATAAATCTGTTTGTCTCCATCTACAGTTCACAGTAAGAACTGTCCCAAGATAAGAGGGAATGGTCAGAGACTGAAAATACTGCAATTGCGCCTACTAGAAATGTAAAATGCAATGGATCACATTCACACTGCAGGATTGCAGCTTGTGTGACAAGCAATCAATATTTAAATTCCTACCATCTAAATGATTTACATTACTAGTAAACCTACAGACATTTCCTAAATTGAAAGAGCCCCGTAGAAGCTGTTCACACAAGGAAACATTTATTAGCAAAATAAAGAGATGAAAATTATTGACTGTAAGGCCATTTTACTCAATTAAATCACATCCACTATGCCAGATGTAACAGATTAGCAATTGCATTATTAAATACATTTTACTTTGGACATTAACAGTTTGTAATATATAGGGGACATAACATGCATTTCAACTGCTAGGGCGGCAGGTAGCTTAGTGGTTAAGAGCGTTGTGGTTAAGAGCGTTGTGCCAGTAACCGAAAGGTCGCTGGTTCTAATCCCTGAGCCGACTAGGTGAAAAATCTGTCGATGTGCCCTTGAGCAAGGCACTTAACCCTAATTGCTCATGTAAGTCGCTCTGGATAAGAGCGTCTGCTAAATGACTAAAAAAAAAAAAAAAAAAAAAAAAAAAAAAATAAAAATAAAACAGTGCTATTATTACCCATCAAACATTAATAGTGCTGGACTCATTTAAAATACTGCACTAGCACAATAACTATTGAGGTGGTTCAATGTGAGGGGAGACTGGGGATAATTGATCCAATCCATGTCTTGCATCCACCCACCAATGTGTAGACGGAAAGCCTATTGAGAGAAGAGGTAGAGAGAGGTTACATTTTAGTCATTTAGCAGACACTCTTATCCAGAGCGACTTACAGTTAGTGAGTGCATACATTTTCATACTGGCCCCCCGTGGGAAACGAACCCACAACCCTGGCGTTGCAAGCGCCATCCTATATATATATATATATATATATATATGCCATTTAGCAGACGCTTTTATCCAAAGCGACTTACAGTCATGCGTGCATACATTTTTTGTGTATGGGTGGTCCCGGGGATCGAACCCACTACCTTGGCGTTACAGGCGCCGTGCTCTACCAGCTGAGCTACAGAGGACTACAAATTAATTAATTATTTTAGATGCTGCGGAGTAGATGCATCACAATTAGCATGTCTTGGCACGTATTCATTTTATTTAGCCTTTATTTTAACAGGGAGTCATGCTGAGAACAAGGTGTCTTTCACAGATGAGCCCTGTAAGTATAATGTAGAATATGTTTAGGCCTATAAACCATTATTCAAGTCTCTATTAGTAACTAAACTTACCTGCTTTTATGGCCAGCCACCACAGCCCTAAGGCCCCCTGTGGCGATGGATATGCATCTTGCGGCTGAGGGTGCGGGCCAGTCGGTCCACGGTGGTGCCGATGTGGCCCAGCTCTTTGCTTGAGGCGAGGCTGTCAATGTTTCCGCTGTACCACAGCACCCAGCCCCCCAGAGACATGAGCACGAACAGTGCTCCTGTGTACACGAGGAGGTCCCCAAAGTCCCTGCCTTTGATATTTAGAGGGACAAAGACTCCCACCAGCAAGGCGGTGCCACCCAGCAAGTCCATCAGCACTGCAAAGGCCAGTGCCAGTTTACAGTGGGACAGGCCATCACAGAGCCCCATGGCCACACCTGAGAGAGCGATGGAATCAGAAATCTGACCTGGGGTACTACAAGTTACAGGGTACACAAACAACTGGGTAAAAAATAAGTGCAGCAAATAAATTCTAGGGAATATGAAAGGCTACATTAAATGTATCATCTACATGAGTGGGAAATAAAAGTGGTTGGTATTAGGTTACAACGATTTAAACAGTTTGTATGGGATAAACAGGAACCCACTGGGCAAAACGGGTTGAATCAACGTTGTTTCCACGTCATTTCGACCAAAACAATCAATGTAATGAACTTGAATCAACGTGGAAAACTGATTGGATTTCCAAAAGTAATCAAGGTAAGGGAATTTCGTTGTTTTTTTCACCCAACTTTTAACCTAAATCCATTGATAGGATGACATTTTTGGTTGATTTCACGTTAGTTCACAACTCAATCAAATGTAGCCTAAATCAACTGAACGTTTAACTGAGACGGCACTAGTGGGAAGGCACTATTTTATAATCTCAGAATAGCCAAACAAATTACATTTTCACTCCAAAGGAACAAAGAAAATAGTTAGGCTAGGTAGGCTACATTGTTTTAAAACCATTGGCTTTCCATAGTCGGTAGCTTACAAGTTGCCCTTTGTCTGGAAAATGTGTCATGTTTTTACTTTGCCCTGGTGAAACTGATGTCGATTCCGACACCGTTTAATGTCGTTATTTATTAGCAAAAATAATTGTCTACCTGGACAAGTTGTGTATTCTTCCGGAATTCGAACCCACCTTTTCACTTTTTTTGTGTTTCTCAACGACCACTTTTCCCCCTCCCACATTTTCACCTGAGCCCCACCCACATATGGTATGCAGAAATTGTATAAGAAATGGTTATCATTGGTAGGCTAGTAAGGCTAGAAGATGCACATTTAGTAGTTGATGTATGTGAAGACACGATGAAGTAGGCATAAAGTTAGTTTCACTGTAATTATTATAAATCTCATTAGCCATCAAAGGAAGTCCGAAGCGTTACAAGTCCTACACACGTGCGCTCGAGTAGAAAAGCTGACGAATTTACCTTATGGGAAGCGGAGGGTTATTAACTTGCTTATTAACTTGCGTCTTTTTTTAGCAGAACGAGGTAACAACTAATGCAAACCATTCGATGACCTTTCATGCGAAAACATAAGGTGACATCACCGTCTCGAAAGAATAATGACTGTTTTAACACTTTCCGTACAATGTATGATCCACGATTATGCTTATTATAATGTTACAATGTTTCCATATGTAGCCTATCACAGATTTGCAAAACAGCACTCAGCCCAAGAAGGATGACTGATCCTCGGACAAGCACAAGGAATGCAACAGGTACTTTAATTTGTCTTCCTCCTCCAGAAAGGCTAGTTGTTATTTTACTAATTTACTGCATTTACTATAGAAATATATAAAAGCAGGGTTAGCCTAATCTCTAGGCATTTCCATTTAAAGAGCCAATCCTCCCTCACCCCTTTCTAGTTTATTTATCAAATGACATCATTGTTAATTATGTGTCACTCATGTGTCACTACCATTTACTGTGGTCCCTAAAGGTCTGTATAATGTTGTGGATGGATGTGAAGTCTCCTTCCCCTTTGAGGAGAACCTGGACCGGTCTGCCTATCTCAACCAGAGTGAGCAGATTTTGGAAGGTAAGTATGGGCATAAGACTTGTAAGTCGCTCTGGATAAGAGCGTCTGCTAAATGACAAAAAAAATAAAAAATAAAAAAAAATAAAAAAAAAATGAAAAAAAAAATAGAAAAAATAATAATAAAAAAAAATAAAAATAAAAATAAAGACCAGTCACACAGATTTTTGTTTCTTTTTTTTTGGGGGGGGGGGGACAACCAGGCTTCAGTATTAACAATTTTACCTGTCTCTCATACATAATACTAGTGAGTTAAGCAACCCCTTATAAATGTGTTCTCTTATCATTAAATGTCAGATAGTTCCGGGCTTAAATGTCAGATAGTTCCGGGCTACTCGAACACAAGCAACATAATATGCAGTTTATTGATTAATTTCCCTAATTGGCTAGAAATTCCACACACCTGGAGGGTGGAGGTAATTAAACTACCACCCCTCATGAAAAGGGTTCTGCATAATCACCTCTTGATACCTTCATCAACTCAATTAATTATGGTGTCATAGGTCAAGTGGTCAATAACTTCTCAGTGCCTACCCATGAGGTATGACTAATGTCAAATAGTTAACTGCACTCCTCCCCCTTCCAGAGTCGGCATCTGAAATGCCTCCGCACTACAGTCCGTTCATGCTGATCACCAACCTGCGCACCCACCTGTGTGTTTCCCTAGAGAAGAATCCATGGCTGCAGAAGCGCATCGACGACCTGGAGGAGGAACGCAACTTCCTGCGCTGCCAGCTGGACCGCTTTGTCTCCTCCATGAGGACCCCGGAGAGCAACCGTAAAGACTGGGGCAGTGGTGGGTGGTGGTGGGGAGCACTTTTCTACTGACTTCCCACTGGGCACAGACGTCAATTCAACGTCTATTTCATGTTGGTTCAACATAATTTCATAGGGTGTCAGGTAGCCTAGCGGTTAAGAGCATTGGGGCAGTAACCGAATGGTCGCTGGTTTGAATCCCCGAGCCGACTAAGTGAAAAATCTCTCAGATGTGCCCTTGAGCAAGGCACTTAACTCTAATTGCTCATATAAGTCACTCTGGATAAGGGCATATGTGGAAACAAAGTTGATTCAACCAGTGTGTGCCTAGTGGGTTAGTACTTGACTATACGTTCCAACTTGTTGCCTCAAAAATATCTAGTCACACTTTCTATTTAATACACTGTTTGAGAACATAATACAGGTGAATACATTATATAGGCTGATACATGGAGAGAGGTGAAATGGAGGTAGAGGAAAACAGATGAGAATTTCAAAATTGGAACTCTGTTGAACTCTATTATCCTCTGCCCTCTATTAGATTGGTATCCTGAATCCCAGCACGCTAGTCTGAACTACACTACTCTGAAACCTCCACCAGAAAGATCTCCAAGCCCTCCTCCTTCACCCATGACCACCAGGTCTGGAATGCTACGGAAACACGTCCAGAGCCAACTTCACACACGTAGCAGCAGAGTACCTGGTGAGAGGGAAGCAGAATCAATTTTGGGTGGGATGGCTTTTTAGGAGTGGGAGAATCATACAGCTTAAGCTAGGCTTTAGTGTCAAACGTCATCAAGTGTCTTGAAGTGTATGTGGATACATTTTCTCACCGTGTCCCCCCCTTTCTCCAGTAAAACAGGAGGTGCGGGTGATAGAAGAAGATAAGTACTTTGAGGAAGACAGTTATTTAGAGGAAGTGGAAGAGGAGGACGATTCATCGGATGAGATGTCGTCCAAGAAAAAGGGATCCAAGAATGGTGGGGAGCCAAGAATGAAAATGAGACGGGTCTTCCGGATCACTCGAGGCAAGGAAAGACAAAGAGGTAACCAAGTCATAGTTTATTGCTCTATTATTTCCAATGCCCAGTGCATTTGTGTCAGCTGCGTCATAATATTCAATTGTATGTTTGAAAAATGAGTTTCCTTGTTATCACACTTTTGGGGGAAATCCCTATTAACTGCTAACTAAAATGGCTCCTCTCTCCTTCAGTGAAAGACCCTGACGGTGTGCTCCATCGGTACCAGAAGATCCTCCTCACTTACCAGCGCCTGAGGAGCATGTCCAAGACCTTCCAGGTCCACCGGGTGGACCGCAACACTATGGCCTCCACCTCCCCCATCGCCGAGCTGCTGCTGGTGGCCCCAGAGAAGGTAGCCGAGGTGGGCGAGTTTGAGTCTTCTAAGGAGAAGCTCCTGGACTATGCCCGCCGCTGCTACAAGGCCCTGGACGAGCCCATGCACACCAAAGTGGCAGCCATGAAGAAGAACCACCTGCTTCTGCCCATCTCCTACAGGTTCAGAAACTAATGGGGGGTCCTTTCCTCCTATAAGTTTAGACATCAATGGATAGGAATGTAGACAGAGAAGTTATTGACCTTCATGGGGATTCACTTACCAAAGGCTATAAGGCTTTGGTCACAGCCAAAGCTTCAGAATATTTTTTTGAAGTATCTTATTCATTGTCCAAAGTGGAGATTGTGGTTGAATAATTTTCTGACAGTGGCTAATTGCAGGATTACTGTATTGGGGGCTCTAGGTTCTTTTTTTGTTTACCGAGAGATTTCTGTTCTCCCATCCTTTCATTTTTTTGCAAGGAAGAAGAGATGTGTAAGAAAGATTTGGAGCCTGTCACTGTATTAACTAAGAGCCACACACTGGATAATTTTGTGATGTAGCCTATTATAGCAGTTACATAGAAAAATTGTGTTGGCTCCATCCTGAGTCATCCACTGGTTGGGCATGCTGTTTATGGTAATTGGTTTATGTTTTGATAGCCATGAATCAAAGACTATCTATCTTTCATTCAGTCAGATGGCAGAGCAGAATTATGATTTGAGGTGTTGCTGCATGATTCATGAATGGTAGAAGCACTGACATATTGCAGACTCTGCATTCCTTCGTTTGAGAACCTTGCTAGTTTTTGTAGATGACTGCCATTCAGGGAAATCTTTTCGACAAGTTTGCTTTAAAATAATTTGGGAGTCCAAATGTGAATAATTTGAGCATGTATTGTTGTTTTGATGGTATAGAAAGTTAATGGACAGGCACACCGTTTTGAGCTGTGGGTTTAAAGAAAATCCACCTGTACATATATTTATTTGTTTTCATTGCCGAACCATTTGTTAATACCTGATTCACAGCTAAAATATTATTTGTATGTTTATTTTATTTTTTTCTTCACATTTTGATAGTATGTTGAGGTTAGTGAAAGCAGTGTAACCCATCTGCTGTACAATAAAAAACATAATTTGTGCAAAATGCAGTTATGAGTTTTAGTAGTTGGTATCTGTCTTCCTAGATATGAAATTGATCAGAAATGTGCCTGTGTTTATAACTAAACTGGGTGGCCTCTGAACAATGAATTCCTCTGCTCAACACACACTAGATTAGTATTATTCCATGCCGACAGAGGGCGTCCTAACTCCCTGTGTCCAGTCTTGATTCAAACAGATGTGTTTATTTGTAGCCTTGGTAGCTAAACTAACAAAATAGATAAGTCATAAAATCTAGGTCCAAAATGTCGGATTTTGATGAATTCGAGAGACTGTTGACTGAAAATAAGAAAGGTGAGTGTTGTTGCACATTCATCCTACAGTAATGGTTAATTTTTACCAGCTACAGTAGCTCCAATATATTATTTTAGCTAGCTAGCATACCAGTAGCTCGCTGTCACTGCATTGCTGCTAGCTAGTTTGCACTAGGCCTATAATGTGTTTACCAAAACAATATTATGACTGAGAGACTCACATGCTTGCACGTCTGCTTGCAATGTACAACAAAGGGCACTGATTGACACCCTAGCCATCCCTGAATAGCTAGCTACATCTGCAGGATTGACTAGTGACATTTGTATTTATTTGGGAGCGACATTTTTAATTGCGACCTGATCATTACTTTTTGACTTGTGCTGCTATTAACTGCAGCACGCTCACTATCAGTTAGCTTATCTAAAGGGTACTGTACCAGGACACATAGCTATACATTTATGCAATATAGAATCAGGGAATGTCAGGGAATAGTGTTACAGATATGCCTACAGATCGTGTTTTCTCTGCATGTTGATGGAGTGAATTTTGAATTGCCTTTTAACTCTAACGTTCGCTATAACAAGAGTAGCAGCATATAATTGTGCTTATCACAGTTTTTTTTTCGGTAGTATGCATAAGGCTTTTTCTCTCCTGCTGCAACTAAGGGATCCTGTGTCATTGTCAGTGACTCTCGCCTCCTCTTCCTCCCTCTTTCCCCTTTTAGAGCGGGACAAGGAGAATCGGCACGGGCGGCGCACCTTGTCCCGCAGTCGCAGCCGAGAGAGGAAGAAGAGGAGCTGGGAAAGGAGGAAGAGCAGGGATAGCCGCAGCGACAGCAAGGACCGTCAACACAGGCGCAGGTGGATACCGCTGTACAAGTATTTGAAATGAGATCCACTCCCATTTTGTGTGAATAGTTGTCTGCTTTGTGCACCATTGACTGGTTTCAAATATTTATTTCCCCACCTCTATGCAATAGTAAAAGGAATACCCATGTTTTAACTGTCATTTCAGCACACAGACTCAAAAACAATCCCAAGAGACTGTTGTGAGGTACAGTAATACAGCGGACAGTGACTTGCATGACACCTTCAAAGTATAACTGCTAATTAGGAGTCAGCTGTCCATCTGTTGGTTAAGTACTGTACTTGGTGGTTGCTGAGTGTAATAACGTTAGAATTGCTTCTTAATACAAGGTCAAGGTAAGGGGAGACTACTTGGATCTGTAATTGTCATAGAGGCTTGCTTTGAAATCCATGCTTATATTTTGGTCGATGTCTGATGTTTAATCCATATACAAATGTGAACATGTAGATGCTAGATATAGTTCTGAGAGGAATGTGTTATAACTATCCATCCCAAATGTATTTTTTAGTTTTTTTAATATCTCTTTGATTCCCATACTTGTGCTATTCGTTGTCCTCTGTCCACACAGTCTCTGCATTGCAAGGCTATATATATGTCCATCTCTCCTGTCCTGTCCCCTACTGTCTCTCTCCTGCAGTCGCTCTCCAGCTCTGCACAGAGAGAAGAAGAAGAAAGTGAGGAAGTACTGGGATGTCCCGGCACCGGGCTTTGAGCATATCACCCCCCTACAGTACAAGGCTATGCAGGGTCAGTTTGGCAATACTGTCACATCACAGTCCGTATTATGTCTGCTCAAAAGCAAAGGCTGTTGATGTGATATTGTATGAAAGTATTCAACTCAGTCCCTCTCTCACTTCATACATATACATAAATATATAGTCATACGTACACTGAGTGTACAAAACATTAAGAACACCTTCCTAATAATGAGCAGTTGCACAACTTTCACTGGAGATGGAAAAATGAAATTACTTTTTTGTCCCACCCCAGTTTTATAATTGCACTGTGATACAAATCGCGGCACCAGTGTGCTTTAGGACCATGTGGACGCCTCAGAGCGGTCGGGTAGGCTGTTTTCCGGTTTCAGCCAGCTGGATTTAGGACCGCACGGACATCACAGAGTGTGCGGACAGGCTGTGTGAAGGCAAAGCTTCTGAAAGGCTGGCGTATAGGACCAGCACGGGAGAGATGATCAGAGGCAGCTGCTGTCTGTGTTGCGCTTTTTCTCCGACTTGTAAAAGCAGGCAGAGCAGAAACTGGCTACTCTTTAGTTGACTGATCTAGCTGGCAAGGTAACTGCTGTTTGACAGAAAAAATGTAGTTATTCCCAGTGCTGAGCTAGTAGTGTAACTGACATGTTACGTTAACCAATGTTTCATCCCCCCTTGACTGAAATGAATGAACTACTAGCAGCTAGTTAATTCTAAAATTGATTAAATCGTTTTTTCCCCTCATCAATCTATACACAATACCCCATAATGACAAAACAGTTTTTTTGAAATAGTTGCAAATGTATTAAAAATAAGGCTGTTATCACATTTACATAAGTATTCAGACCCTTTACTCAGTACTTTGTTGAAGCACCTTTGGCAGTGATTACAGCCTCAAGTCTTCTTGGGTATGACGCTACAAGCTTGGTACACCTGTATTTGGGGAGTTTCTCCCATTCTTCTCTGCAGATCCTCTCAAGCTCTGCCAGGTTGGATGGGGAGCGTCGCTCCAAAGCTATTTTCAGGTCTCTCCAGAGATGTTCGATCGGGTTCAAGTCCGGGATCTGGCTGGGCCACTCCTGTGTTGTCTTGGCTTTGTGCTTAGGGTCTATGTCCTGTTGGAAGGTGAACCTTCGCCCTAATCCTGAGGTCCTGAGGTTTTCATCAAGGATCTCTCTGTACTTTGCTCCGTTCATAGTTCCCTCGATCCTGACTAGTCTCCCAGTCCCTGCCACTGAAAAACACTCCCCAGCATGATGCTGCCACCACAATGCTTCACCGTAGGGTTGTTATTGGCCAGGTGATGAGCGGTGCCTGGTTTCCTCCAGACGTGATGTTTGGTATTCAGGCCAAAGAGTTCAATCTTGGTTTCATCAGACCAGAGAATCTTGTTTCTCAAGGTCTGAGAGTCCTTTAGGTGCCTTTTGGCAAACTCCAAGCAGGCTGTCATGTGCCTTTTACTGAGGAGTGGCTTCCGTCTGGCCTCTCTACCATAAAAGCCTGATTGGTGGAGTGCTGCAGAGATGGTTGTCCTTCTGGAAGATTCTCCCATCTCCACAGAGGAACTCTGGAGCTCTGTCAGAGTGACCATCAGGTTCTTGGTCACCTCCCTGACCAAGGCCCTTCTCCCCCGATTGCTCAGTTTGGCTGGGTGGCCAGCTCTAGGAAGAGTCTTAGTGGTTCCAAACTTCTTCCATTTAAGAATGATGGAGGCCACTGTGTTCTTGGGGACCTCCAATGCTGCACTAAATTTTTGGTAGCCTTCCCCAGATCTGTGCCTTGACACAATCCTGTCTCGGAGCTCTATGGACAATTCCTTCGACCTCATAGCTTGTTTTTTGCTCTGACATACACTGTCAACTGTGGGACCTTATATAGACAGGTGTGTGCCTTTACCACAGGTGGACTCCAATCAAGTTGTAGAAACATCTCAAGGATGATCAATGGCAACAGGATGCACCTGAGCTCAAATTTGAGTCCCATAGCAAAGGGTCTGAATACTTATGTAAATTAGGTATTTCTGTTTTAAAATTTGTACAAATTGCTAAAACCCTGTTTTCACTTTGTCATTATGGGTTATTGTGTGTAGATTGATGACGGGAAAAAAACGATTTAATCAATGTTAGAACAAGGCTGTAAGGTAACAAAGTGGAAAAAGTCAAAGGTGAATACTTTCCGAATGCACTGTATATACAAAAGTATGTGGATTCAGCTATTTCAGCCACACCCGTTGCTGACAGGTGTATAAAATCGAGCACACAGCCATGCAATCTCAATAGACAAACATTGGCAGTAGAATGGCCTTACTGAAGAGCTCAGTGACTTTCAACGTGACATCGTCATAGGATACCACCTTTCGAACAAGTCAGTTAGTCAAATTTCTGCCCTGCTAGAGCTGCCTCGGTCAACTAACGTCTAGGAGCAACAACGACTCAGCCACGAAGTGGTAGGCCACACAAGCTCATAAAACGGGACCGCCGAGAGTTCTGAAGCGCGTAAAAATCGCCTGTCCTGGGTTGCAACACTCACTACCGAATTCCAAACTGCTTCTGGAAGCAACGTCAACACAAGAACGGTTCCTTCACGAAATGGGTTTCCATGGTCGAGCAGCCGCACACAAGCCTAAGATCACCATGCCCAATGCTGCCATTGGACTCTGGAGCAGAACTGTAAAGTTTGGTGGAGGAGGAATAATAGTCTGGGGCTGTTTTTCATGGTTCGGGCTAGGTCTCTTAGTTCCAGTGAAGGGAAATCTTAACGCTACAGCATACAATGACATTCGAGCTGATTCGGTGCTTCCAACTTTGTGGCAATAGTTTGGGGAAGGCCCTTTGCTGTTTCAGCATGACAATGCCCCCGTGCACAAAGCGAGGTCCATACAAAAATGGTTTGCCGAGATCAGTGTGGAAGAACTTGACTGGCCTGCACAGAGCCCTAACCTTAACCCCATATAACACATTTGGGATGAATTGGAACGTCGATAGAGAGCCAGGCCTAATGGCCCAACATCAGTGCCCGACTTCACTAATGCTCTTGTGGCTGAATGGAAGCAAGTCCCCGCAGCAATGTTCCAACATCTAGTGGAAAGCCATCCCAGAAGAGTGGAGGCTGTCATAGCAGCAAAAGGGGGACAAATTCCATATTAATGCCCATGATTTTGGAATGAGATGTTCGACGGGCAGGTGTCCACATACTTTTGGGCATGTAGTGTAGCTACCACAGTCAGTTCAGCTCTAGCTAGCCTCTAGCTATCTGTCAGGTAGCAGTATCTAACAGCTGTTGTGTGTATGGAAATGTGTTGTAGCCTTTGTTTTGTCCCATTTCAACAGAAGTACATTTGAACCATTGTATCATTAGCTAGAGCTAGCCAAAAGTTGGGTAACGTTAGCTAGCTAGCTCACTAACTTTTGCTATTATTTTTGCCTCAATCACACTAGACCTGAGTCAAATGATGAAACCAGCATCCAAACGATTGAAGACATATATTCTGATGTTTCTTCAGCGTAATGTGAGTTTATATTAGTCAGTAAAGCAATGTAATGTTATTCAACTGTCAGTTTCCCTAGTTAATTCCCTACTTTTCACACTGACACGGTATAAACAGCTCTACAGGCTTCACTGTCATGGTGCACAGTCAGTACACAACACTATGATCATCATGTCTTAGCAGGGTCAGGCAGCCAGGGAATACCAGTCTACGGAGCTCAGGTGAATTTTGCGATCAGTGAATGGATACAAAGTTCCATCTTGAGTTGATGGGTAGGCTGCAGTCAGGAATCTGGGAATAATGGTAATTTCAAATATTTAACCATTCATTATATTCTTGGATAATATAATGTATAAATGTACACCAAGGAAATTCTTTGTCATGCCTCATCTGAGCAGGATCAGATGGTGACGGGTCTCAGCAGGGTCAGGCAGGCAGGGAAGACCAGTCTGTGACGGCGCAGAGGTGAACTTTTGCAGATACAACACTTTATTCTCTCTGTGCAGCAAACACTGGACAAGAAAGAAGCTTCAAAGATTTAAACTATTTTAAGGCAGTCTGACAAACCTCTAAAGTTGATTTCCAAACTGTATCAAGGGTTGATAGTGGCTTTTCCCAATGACACAAAACATGTAAAACAAAAATGTGAGGAAGACCTGGGAGACGCTATTGATGATGATGAATGGATACAGATATGTTAGAATGCCCAGTCATGTTCATATAATCTCAGACAGAAATTACTGCAGTTTAAGACTATCCATATAACATATTATATGCCAGTTAAACTGAATATCATGCACTCAGAAATTAAATTATTCTGCTGGAGGTGTAAAACACAAAAGGGGGTATATTTGCATATATTATGGTCTTGTAAAGGCTGGCTGAATTCTGACAAAGAGTATGTTCTTTTATCTCAGCATGTTTACAGATTCACCCTGTTTTTGTTTGCTTATAAATGTTGATACTGGAGACTGTTATCAGACAAAACTATAACCTAGCGGCTAAGAAATGCATTGCCATTAATTGGAAGGTTGGTGATCCTCCCACAATGTCACAATGGATGGCAGAAATGTAAAGTTATGCATCACTGAATTTGATTTATTACAAGATTAAGGGTATACTGTGCAACTTTCATAAGGTCTGGATTTCTTATATGGAATACTGTACGACAAAAGGAGTCTATTGAAAACATGCCCACTTCAGGGGAGATACAGTACCTATTTAGGCAATCGCTAGCTGCTGGGCTGCTCAATCCTGGCCCTGGGGGTCTGCCATTCTGTTGGTTGTCACTCTTGCCTTGGCCTAACACACCTGAAAACAATAATGAATGTTTCACTAAGATTCTGAAGCTGAGTAGGGTGTATTGGGTTGGGGCGCTGCATGGTCGTGGACCCCTAGGGGCAGGACGGGGAGACCCAGCTATATTGTGTGCAAGTAAAAAGAGCTCTACAGTACTATTAGGCTTATGATACGAATTATATGGAGGATGACACAACACAATGCCACAGATGTCTCAAGTTTTGAGGGAGCGTACAGTTGGCATGCTGACTGAAGGAATATCCACCAGAGCTGTTGCCAGATAATTGAATGTTTTAATTTCTCTACCTCCAATGTCATTTTAGAGAATTTGGCAGTACGTCCAACCGGTCTCACAACAGCAGACCTCGTGCCCTGCGGGATCTACAGTACTATTAGGCTTATGATACGAATTATATGGAGGATGTACTGTTTCTGTGTGTTAATGTGTAGGAGGTGTATGTGTGTTTTTATTAAACTTTTGATTTCTAAACCTTTCCCTTGAGACATAAGAAAAAGTAGATGTGAAGGAAGTTGTGTTGGGGAGAGAGTTGAGTTATTGACTAGACTGGTGGGGATCAGGGCGTGCAGGCGGATCGGGCTGGTCTGGCTGAAATTTGATATAGAGGATGTCTTAATAAAGACAATCAAAAGTTAAGTCTTTTGTACTTTATTTGTAAGAGTTGTTCATTTGTTAGGCTGTTGGTTAAAGGTGCAACACAATATTGATTATTGAATTATCATTGATCTATACTGAACAAAAATGTAAATGCAACATGTAAAGTGTTGGTCCCATAAAATAAAAGATCCCAGAAATGTTCCATATGCACCAAAAGCTTATTTCTCTCAAATGTTGTGCACAAATTTGTTTACATTCCTGTTAGTGAGCATTTCAACTTTGCCAAGATAATCCATCCACCTGACAGGTGTGGCATATCAAAAAGCTGATTAAACAGCATTATCATTACACAGGTGCACCTTGTACTGGGGACAATAAAAATAGACTCTAAAATGTGTCACACAACACAATGCCACAGATGTCTCAAGTTTTGAGGGAGCGTACAGTTGGCATGCTGACTGAAGGAATATCCACCAGAGCTGTTGCCAGATAATTGAATGTTTTAATTTCTCTACCTCCAATGTCATTTTAGAGAATTTGGCAGTACGTCCAACCGGTCTCACAACAGCAGACCTCGTGCCCTGCGGGATCGTCTGAGACCAGCCACCCGGACAGCTGATGAAACGGGACTATTTCTATTTTTGTGGGGAAAACTCATTCTGATTGGCTAGGCCTGGCTCCCAAGTAGGTGGGCCTATGCCCTCCTAGGCCCACCCATGGTTGCGCCCCTGCCCAGTCATGTGAAATCCATAGATTAGGGCCTAATTAATTTATTTCAATTGACTGATTTCCTTATATGAACTGTAACGCAGTAAAATTGTTGCATGTTGCGTTTATATTGTTGTTCGGTATAGTTCAGTCTTATCAATCACTTAAATATTTAATAATGGTCTCTTACCTAGCTTGATGACTGGTCATTTTTTATTACTTTTTTGTTGTTCTAAATAGAGACAGCTAGAAGGGCAATGGGTCATATTTGATTGTGTAGAAATTCAGGAAATTAGCTTTAGATGCCCCAAAAAATAGAAGGACCCTCAGACCCCATGCCAAGTTATATCCCCTCCACTTCTAAAACCAAAGTTGTGCCCCTTCCCACAGTGGTGTCAAGTTCGCTGGATGTCCTTTGGATGGAGGACCATTCTTGATACACACGGGAAACTGTTGAGCGTGAAAAACCCAGCAGCGTTGCAGTTCTTGACACACTCAAACCATTGGGCCTGGCACCTACTACCATACCCCGTTCAAAGGCACTTAAATATTTTGTCTTGCCCATTCACCCTCTGAATGGCACACATACACAATCCATGTCTCAAGGCTTAAAAATCATTATTTAACCTGTCTTCTCCCCTTGATCTACACTGATTGAAATGGATTTAACAAGTGACATCAATAAGGGATTATGGCTTTCACCTGGATTCACCTGATCATTCTACGTCATGGAAAGAGCAGGTGTTCAGTATTTCTTCTTCGTTGGGAGTCATATCTAACTTGAGTCCATGTTCCTCTCTCAGCTGCTGGCCAGATCCCAGCCACGGCCCTGCTGCCCACCATGATAACTCCAGAGGGGCTGGCCTCCACCCACACTTCTGTACCCATGGTGGGCAGCCAAATGACCAGGCAGGCCAGGAGGCTCTACGTAGGCAACATACCGTTCGGCATCACAGAGGTAGGTAATAGGGAACTGCTACCCTTTCCAAACTACTGAGTTGTACATAAGGCCTAAAATACAGTTAAAGACGAACGCCACAACCCTATGATATAACTGTCATAGCATCAGCCTGGTCGAGAGCCTTCTACATACTTCTGCCTTCCTCACTGCAAAATGTATAATAAGTGACTCTTTCGTGTGATCGTCTATGTTGTGTCAATAGGAGGCCATGATGGATTTCTTCAATGCCCAGATGCGCCTCGGCGGTCTTACCCAGGCCACTGGCAACCCTGTTCTAGCTGTGCAGATAAACCAGGACAAGAACTTTGCCTTCCTCGAGGTGTGTGCTCAACTAAAATGTATTTAATATAAAAATGAAATAGCATGAAATAGATCATGGATGGCAGTTATTAGCTAACTTGCATTGCCCGTGAACAGTTTCCTTCCTGAGTGCTGAAGTTTTGTTGAGTTCTGCATGCTTCTACCATAGCACGTCATAATGTTGACCTTCTCTCTACTTGTTCCTCTTCCAGTTCCGCTCGGTGGACGAGACAACCCAGGCCATGGCCTTTGACGGCATCATCTTCCAGGGTCAGAGCCTGAAGATCAGACGGCCTCACGACTACCAGCCCCTTCCCGGCATGAGTGAGAGCCCCAGTGTCTATGTACCAGGTGGGTCTTTCCATAGGACATCAACGACTTGTTTACCCTGTTGAATCCTCTGATTTCAATGAAAATGTTCTTAACCCCATTTCTCACTGTTGCTTGGATTAGGAGTGGTTTCGACTGTTGTGCCAGACTCCGCCCACAAACTCTTCATCGGTGGCTTGCCAAATTATCTCAATGATGATCAGGTCAGTCCTTTCTAGCTTATTGAAGTCCTTCTTTCTAAGTCTCTGGCATGATCAATAAATGTCATACTACTCTTTATTTTTGTCAATCATCAAAGGTTATTTAGTTCCAACAATGTTACTAATAGAGCAATCTATCTTTAATTTCCTCTCATATTATGATGTTCATTGTTGGTGTTTTCCTGTCTTCACACCCTGCCTTTGTTCCGTAGGTAAAAGAGCTATTGACCTCCTTTGGCCCTCTGAAGGCCTTCAACCTGGTCAAAGACAGCGCCACGGGACTCTCCAAGGGCTACGCCTTCTGTGAATATGTGGACATCAATTTGAATGACCAGGTCAGTGTCAGATATTGCACCTGTATTGCTGGATGCAATCTTGTTATAGACTTGATGTTAACATAAGGTCATAGACTCTTGGGCTGCATGTCAGTAGTCCAAAGTGGCTACCCTGTGTTTCTTCTTTCATCCGCACTGATCTGATATACCTGGCCAAGTGAAAGCAAATCTCATAATAGTTTTCTGCCATATTGCTTTCACCTATCCAGCCTTTGCAGATCAGCGCTGTTGTAGGAAAGGAGATGAGAGTAGGATGCACATTTTGAGTGGAAAGATGGGAGCAAATCCCAAACTCCTTCTATCATAAAAATTAATATATTAACTTTTCTAGTTCCATGATCCCTCTGTCACCACCAGCAGGATACTGGGACAGGCTACATTCTTTACTTGCTAAATTCATTTGGAAGATGAAACACCCTCGTATTAAGTTTTCTACTTTTCAGCGTGAAAAATGTGCAGGTTACCAAAACCTCCAGCGTGAAAAATGTGCAGGTTGCCAAAACCTCCCAAATTTCAAATTCTATTTTTGGGCTTTAATTTTACTCCCTCTGTACTCATGTTTAAATCCTGCTACAGCTGTATCTTGGTGCCCCCTAGAGGAAAAACAAGTTGCCCCTCAAACTCTAAGACACAATCCATTCTGATATCCCGTCAAAAATTGCAAACTCAAATTTGGCCCTATCATCTCACAACTTATTTCAGTCTGGCGCCTGGTTGGTAAACATACCAAAACCAATCTCACCATCCTCACCTTCCTTTATTTCACAATCACACTCTCCACCTGGGTGGTCGTCCTCTCTCTTCATCAATGGTCTGAAAGAGGGAATCCTACTATCTCAGATATAACTGAAGGCTACTATCTGTGTGCATCTCAAGCAATTTAACTTACCTGGTACTTCCTTTTTCTTTTACTTACAACTCCGTTCTGCTTTGCGTGTTTATGGAGTTCCTTTGGGGGACAAGAATGGTCTATCCATCCTATCCAGAAATGATTTATTCATAGTAGTACACAGGGACTGGTCTCTAAATGACATTCTCTGCTACTTAAAATGACTCATAAACCAATTCCTTCCCATGTATCATGGAAGAAAGACCTTTCCGTATGTACAGTCGTGGTGAAAAGTTTTGAGAATGACACAAATATTAATTTTCACAAAGTCTGCTCCCTCAGTTTTTATGATGGCAATTTGCATATACTCCAGAATGTTATGAAGAGTGATCAGATGAATTGCAATTAATTGCAAAGTCCCTCTTTGCCATGAAAATGAACTTAATCCCAAAAAAACATTTCCACTGCATTTCAGCCCTGCCACAAAAGGACCAGCTGACATCATGTCAGTGATTCTCTCGTTAACACAGGTGAGAGTGTTGACGAGAACAAGGCTGGAGATCACTCTGTCATGCTGATTGAGTTAGAATAACAGACTGGAAGCTTTAAAAGGAGGGTGGTGCTTGAAATCATTGTTCTTCCTCTGTTAACCATGGTTACCTGCAAGGAAACACGTGCCGTCATCATTGCTTTGCACAAAAAGGACTTCACAGGCAAGGATATTGCTGCTAGTAAGATTGCACCTAAATCAACCATTTATCGGATCATCAAGAACTTCAAGAAGAGAGGTTCAATTGTTGTGAAGAAGGCTTCAGGGCGCCCAAGAAAGTCCAGCAAGCGCCAGGACCGTCTCCTAAAGTTGATTCAGCTGCGGGATCGGGGCACCACCAGTGCAGAACTTGCTCAGGAATGGCAGCAGGCAGGTGTGAGTGCATCTGCACGCACAGTGAGGCGAAGACTTTTGGAGGATGGCCTGGTGTCAAGAAGGGCAGCGAGGAAGCCACTTCTCTCCAGAAAAAACATCAGGGACAGACTGATATTCTGCAAAAGGTACAGGGATTGGACTGCTGAGGACTGGGGTAAAGTCATTTTCTTTGATGAATCCCCTTCCCGATTGTTTGGGGCATCCGGAAAAAAGCTTGTCCGGAGAAGACAAGGTGAGCGCTACCATCAGTCCTGTGTCATGCCAACAGTAAAGCATCCTGAGACCATTCATGTGTGGGGTTGCTTCTCAGCCAAGGGAGTGGGCTCACTCACAATTTTGCCTAAGAACACAGCCAAGAATAAAGAATGGTACCAACACATCCTCCGAGAGCAACTTCTCCCAACCATCCAAGAACAGTTTGGTGACGAACAATGCCTTTTCCAGCATGATGGAGCACCTTGCCATAAGGCAAAAGTGATAACTAAGTGGCTCAGGGAACAAAACATCGACATTTTGGGTCCATGGCCAGGAAACTCCCCAGACCTTAATCCCATTGAGAACTTGTGTTCAATCCTCAAGAGGCGGGTGGACAAACAAAAACCCACAAATTCTGACAAACTCCAAGCATTGATTATGCAAGAATGGGCTGCCATCAGTCAGGATGTGGCCCAGAAGTTAATTGACAGCATGCCAGGGCGGATTGCAGAGGTCTTGAAAAAGAAGGGTCAACACTGCAAATATTTACTCTTTGCATAAACTTAATGTCATTATCAATAAAAGCCTTTGACACTTATGGAATGCTTGTAATTATACTTCAGTATACCATAGTATCATCTGACAAAAATATCTTAAACTTTGTGAAGACCAATACTTGTGTCATTCTCAAAACTTTTGACCACAACTGTAGTACTGTGACTAATTGGACTAGAGTTTGGTCCAACAAATCAATTTCATCAAGAAACCCCAACCACCAAATGATACATTACTATTTTGCCCATAGAACTTACTGTACACCATGCAAACTATTTAAGATGAAAGCTAGACAAACCCCAAATTGTTCGGTCTTGTCACTTGTTTTTCTGTCCATGTGTACCTGTTTTGTGTACCTTATTACAAATAGTAAAAACATTTGATCACAAAAGAAAGGAAGCTAATTTTGACTATTGAGATGCATCCCTCTGTTTTAACTGTTTACTGTCTCAGGCCATTGCAGGGTTGAATGGGATGCAGCTGGGGGACAAGAAGCTCCTGGTCCAGAGAGCCAGTGTTGGGGCCAAGAACGCAGCTCTGGTGAGTACCGGAGATGATAGACTACATGGAGAGACACACTTTACAAATGGTTGCTGTTCAAAAGGAGCAAACAGGAGAGAACCTTTCGAAATAGAAGACAGAATGGGAAAAAAATTAGTGATATTTTGGGGTAAATTAGGACCTAACTATCCCCTCTGTTTCAAGCCTTTTTTAATCCACCTCCACTGACCTAAAACATCAAGCTTTGTTTCATAACTTAATCAGGACAATCCAGAGCTGATTAACGATTGACTAAGCGTATGCACCACTGCAAAGTAGACATAATATTATTACAAAAACAAGTTGAATAATAACAGTTTCATATTTGTTTTTGTTTTGTAGTTTTTTTCTTTCATTTGTTTTTACACCATAAACATTCTAAAACGTTTTCTAAAAGTATCCCATGTTCTTTCAACCTTCCCAATAACCAACACCTCTCCCCACCCTTCCCCTCTTCCACACCCCCACCGTTCCCCTCTTTCCCCACCAGACGGGTATGAACCAGACCCCAGTGACCCTCCAAGTGCCAGGCCTGATGCCAACCTCCATGGCCTCGCTGGGTGGCCTGCCCACTGAGGTGCTCTGCCTGATGAACATGGTGGCTGTGGAGGAGCTGCTGGATGACGAGGAGTACGAGGAGATCGTGGAAGACGTCCGCGGTGAGTGCAGCAAGTACGGCCAGGTGAAGAGCATCGAGATCCCCCGGCCTGTGGATGGCCTGGAGGTCCCAGGCACTGGGAAGGTGAGGAGGGGGAGAGGAATAGGGGGGGACATGGGTGTTAGGATGGGATAGGGCATGGGGGTGTTTGTTGCAGTGTTTTGAGGAGAGTTTGTGTTGTGTGTACTCTGAAATTGCACAGTTTCAAAGTGAATCCGTTAAATTATTGAATCTCCTTGGGGAAATGTGCCTTTCGCCTCCCATCAAACAAGCATAGCAATTCATAACATCACTCTTGCCTAGTCTTGTGGTAATAGTTTTCAATGCGATAATCCCTTTGTATGTGTATGTGTAAACATTTATCATAGTTCATTGCTGTAGAATTATATTTAACATGGTTGTCTGGTTCCATACAGAATGGCCATACACCCACTCTCCTATCCTTTCTTTCCCTCACCCTCAGATCTTTGTGGAGTTCATGACCCTGTTTGACTCCCAGAAGGCCATGCAGGCGCTGACAGGCAGGAAGTTTGCCAACAGGATGGTGATGACCAAGTACTGTGACCCGGACGCCTACCACCGCCGGGACTTCTGGTAGACCTGAGAACCAGAAAGAGGGAGAATAGCAGAGTTTCATGTTATTTATGTAATTATATGAATATTTATGAGCATCACAACACTCCTAACTTTTTGCACTTTTTTAAAGAGGAGGTGTAGAAAGTTCATTTAAGGCCACTTATCACTGTAAAATCAGCAGAATTGGTTGAAGTATTACTTTTCGCCTCATCGCTTATGAGTATATGATTTTATTCAATGAATCAAGTTCAATCATGATTTTAACCATTTTATTTTGCCATGCCTGAGCCAGAGGTACCAGGTGTTTTTTGTTACACTACATGACCAAACGTATGTGGACACCTGCTTGTCGAACATCTCATTCCAAAATCATGGGCATTAATATGGAGTTGGTCCCCCCTTTGCTGCTATAACAGCCTCCACTTTTCTGGGAAGGCTTTCCACTATATGCGGGGACTTGCCCCAAGAGCATTAGTGAGGTTGGGCACTGATGTTGGGCGATTAGGCCTGGCTCGCAATTGGCGATCCAATTCATCCCAAAGGTATTCAATGGGGTTGAGGTCAGGGCTCTGTGCAGGCCAGTCAAGTTCTTCCACACCGATCTCGACAAACCATTTCTGTATGGACCTCGCTTTGTGCATAGGGGCATTGTCATGCTGAAACAGGAAAGGGCCTTCCCCAAACTTTTGCCACAAAGTTGGAAGCACAGAATTGTCTAGAATGTAATTGTATGCTGTAGTGTTAAGATTTCCCTTCACTGGAACTAAGGGGCCTAGCTCGAACCATGAAAAACAGCCCCAGACCATTATTGCTCCTACACCAAACTTTACAGTTGGCACTATGCATTGAGGCAGGTAGCGTTCTCCTGGCATCCGCCAAACCCATATTCGTCCATCGGACTGCCAGATAGTGAAGCGTGATTCATCATTCCACTGCTCCAGAGTCCAATGGCGGCAAGTTTTACACCACTCCAGCCGACGCTTGGCATTGCGCATGGTGATCTTAGGCTTGTGCGTGGCTGCTCGACCATGGAAACCCATTTCATGATGCTCCCGACGAGCAGTTCTTGTTCTGACATTGCTTCCAGAGGCAGTTTGGAACTCGTAGTGAGTGTTGCAACCGAGGACAGACGATTTCTACGCTCTACACGCTTCAACACTCGGTGGTCCCGTTCTGTGAGCTTGTGTGGCCTACCACTTCGCGGCTGAGCCGTTGTTGCCCCTAGACGTTTCCACTTCACAATAACAGCACTTACAGTTGACCAGGGCAGCTCTAGCAGGGCAGAAATTTGATGAACTGATTTGTTGGAAAGGTGGCATCCTATGACGGTGCCCCGTTGAAAGTCACTGTGCTCTTCAGTAAGGCCATTCTACTGCCAATGTTTGTCTATGGAGATTGCATGGCTGTGTGCTCGATTTTATACACCTGTCAGCAACGGGTGTGGCTGAAATAGCCGAATCCACTAATTTGAAGGGATGTCCACATACTTTTGTATATATACAATCTTCAGAACATCAACGCCACTTATTGTGAAGTCTGACTCATGTCTGAGGGGACATGCAAATACTGTAAGTGGCTGTGTCAGATTTAACTTATCATCACCGCCCTCTTTTGATAACAAAACGTCTGAAAATGATGTAATGTTGTGACTTTGTGGCTCTGGCACCAATTCTCAGTGTGCAACCCCCATTCCACAAAATGTTTTGCAACAGAAAACAAATGTGTATTTCTTATTGGAAAAGTTCAGATAGTTCAGATCTCTCCCTGTTTCAGTATGTTTTCTTCAGTTTGGTGCCTAATGAACACAACCCTGAACTCTCCCCGTCCACAGCTTCCCTCTCTCTCTCCTCAGACAATCTGCTATACAGCCGAAAGCCTTTATCAGAGTTATCACTGCCCTGCCTCGACCCTTGGTAGGTTTTGTAAAACATTATTGACATTGACTTACAATCACTAGGTAATGTTATTTATTATTTCACTGTAAAATCATATCTGCTGTATTTTTGTATTACGTTTTTATATGTTCCTATTATAAGTTCCTATTTAACCCAGTTGAGCTTTTCACTCTCATGGCTTTGCCTCAGTGAGATCTCTTTAGAACCAAAAAAGGCATGTGGATCTGCACGTGTGAGGCTTTCTGATGGGTGACATGAATTCAGGTTCATGACAGGCGAGACAATAGAAAAGTGAAGATAATGTAGATAATTTGTAGGCGTGGGTAGGCTCTATGAAACAATGTGAAGAGTTCAATTACATGCCCCTTTCTTCCACTTCTCTTTCCTATTTAATCGTTTTCATTTTCTATACTACATGGACTACTCTTGGAGGAACCTGTCTGCCATTATTTTCCATTCTATTCCCATCCCCCTCTTCTCCAAGACCTTCCGTTGCTTCGAATTTCATAATGGACATTTCTTTTGACAGGTTTTGCGCTCCAAATGCTGTAGTCTCCTGAGGATCTTTAGATGATTTGCATTACCAAAGCATCTCCACATCTGAGATTGTTTGTTGTTTTCCTAAACAGGTTGAAAGATTATGTAAGAGACTGGCTTTGTCTCTGTCCTTATACTGTCAACAGGTTAGCAGGTGAGAATTTTTGCACTCCGTCACTTCCCTCAACATTGTAAGGTTGTATTTTTTGTTTACAGAAGGTCTGAGTGATCACATTAAAACAGATTTTATGTACTCTGATGTCTATCTGATCTGTTTAATGTCTACAAGATATTGAGTCAGAATTGAGTGTGCGTGTGGCTCGTCCTTGGTATTGTATGGAGCCAACTATATGGGTTCTGCTCAGGCGGAATATTTTTGATGGTGGATGGAAAAGGGGTGATCAAAAGTGATAGAACAGTGTTCAGAGACTCCATATAAAACCAATGTGTATCTAGATTCATGTAATCTCCAAGCTAGAGTTACTGCTGTATTGCTATCAAGGCTTGAATCAATATTTAATTTCCCAGTGCCTCCCAGTGGGGTTGGAAAAAAAGACAATGCCAGCCCAGAGTTCTATTCACTGAGTTTTGATAACTATATTGTAAAATTGCTTTAGACTGATGGCAACATCTTTTATTTCAGTCATGTAGGCCATTTGATTAATGAAAGACAGCATTGAATTATTTCATATTGCACTGTAATTAATAATCTACATGGCAGTCTACACTTGGACTATTACAGCTCATATTATCAATAGATTTTCTGTCAGCTCAGTTTATTATAATGTTTTCTTGCCATTTGCTGGCCAGTGTTATGGTTTGGGACAAGGATCAAAACATGAGGGGGGCGAGGTTTGATTACCTTTCACCTATCAAACTTAACCAATCATAGTCCGACTTGTGCGGAAGTAGTAATTCTGTCCCTCTAGACGGACAGACAGTCTAGCCAGTGAAAGGTGAATAATGAGGATGAAGCTCCAATCGCATGCAAGGGAGGCGGGCCTTCAGTCCATCAGGTCAACAGCGGAGGAGGTGTTCCTGGTAGCCATCTTGGATGTGCGGAGTGATTGTTTGGCGAAAATAATTAATACAATTTAGAAATATAGCGTGAGGACTTGGGCAAATACGATTTAAAAGAGTGGGGTCAACTAATAAAAGAAAAGCTTAATCGGAAAATCCAGGTAAATGAATCGTACACTAAAACAGAACTAGTTATGTGCCATTTTCTTCTCCCTTCCAATTTGGCTCACACTAATAGCTTAGCCGGTGGTTATCCACTAGCTGGCTATCAGCTACAGAGCCAAATTGACATGGGTTCGGCTAATATGTTTGCCAAGGAAATTCAAGTTTTGCAATAATGCACGGCAATTTTGTAGCCGACAAGTTATTGTTACTTTGGTGTGGAAGTGGTCTACTTGTTTGCTTATCTCTGACAAATAGAAACAGCTTATAAAGGCATCTAACTATGTTGCTTCTAAACATTTAATGTTTATTTTAATGCTCACTTTAAAAAAAAAAAAAGCGATCGTTGCCCCCAAGCCAGATGTGGAGGCTAGCCTAGCTCACTTACTGGATCTGTTGAGAAAGTCTAGTGTGGGTAACATTTTGGCGAATGTACTTCAAATACACCCTCAACTCACTGGCTGAAGTGATGGTAAAATTGTGTTATCGAACCGTGGTTGCGCCAAGCTGCGTGGACGTGTAACATTGTCGCAAAAAAGTATCAAGTGATGCTCAGCAAAGTAACCAGCCTCGCGCATTATATTGTTGAACTCACGTGAACTGTCTGAACGTCAACGTATCCAGACACCACTCAGTGACTACAATTCATGCAGCTAGGCTAGCTACATCAGTTAGCTGCAGTCTACTGCCACTTGTGATATTTACTCTTGTATTATGGTATTGATTGACAGAAAAATACTTTAGCAAACATTTTAGTTAACATTTTCTCAAGAAACATGGTCAATGTTTATTTATTTTGAGACATCAATCGAGGTTTTAAAGCATTTCTAAATTCAAAACTAGTCTTGTACTGTACAGTACATTAAACAAATCTACACTGAACAAAAATATAAACGCAACAATTAAGAAAATCAGTCAATTGAAATAAGTTCATTAGGCCCTAATCTATGGATTTCACATGACTGGGAATACAGAAATGCATATTTTGGTCACATACCTTTAAAAAAAAAAAGGAAGGGGTGTGGATCACAAATCTAGTCAATATCTGGTGTGACCACCATTTGCCTCATGCAGCGCGACACATATCCTTCGCATTAAGTTGATCAGGCTGTTGATAGTGGCCTGTGGAATGTTGTCCCACTTCTCTTCAATGGCTGTGCGAAGTTGTTGGATATTAGGGGAACTGGAACACGCTATCATACGTTGATCCAGGGCATCCTAAACATGCTCAATGGGTGACATGTCTGGTGAGTATGCAGGCCATGGAAGTACTGGGACATTTTCAGTTTCCAGGAATTGTGTACAGGTCCTTGCTACATGGTGCTGTGCATTATCATGCTGAAATGGACAACAACATGAGGTGATGGTGGCGGATGAATGGCATGACAATGGGCCTCAGGCTCTCGTCACGGTATCTCTGTGCATTCAAATTGCCATCGATAAAATGCAATTGTGTTTGTTGTCTGTAGCTTATGCCTGCCCATACTATAACCCCACTGCCACCATGGGGCACTCTGTTCACAACATTGACATCAGCAAACCGCTCTCCTACATGACGCCATACACGCTGTCTGCCATCTGCCAAGTACAGTTGAAACCGGGATTCATCCGTGAAGAGCACACTTCTCCAGCGTGCCAGTGGCCATCGAAGGTGAGCATTTGCCCACTGAAGTCTGTTACGACGCCGAACTGCAGTCAGGTTAAGACCCAGGTGAGGATGACGAGCACGCAGATGAGCTTCCCTGAGACAGTTTCTGACAGTTTGTGCAGAAATTCTTTAGTTGTGCAAACCCACAGTTACTTCAGCTGTCCGGGTTGCTGGTCTCAGACCGTACCGCAGGTGAAGAAGCCGGATGTGGAGGTCCTGGGCTGGCGTCGTTACACGTGGTCTGCGGTTGTGAGGTCGGTTGGACGTACTGTCAAATTCTCTAAAATGACGTTGGAGGTGGCTTATGGTAGAGAAATGAACATTCAGTTCTCTGGCAACAGCTCTGGTGGACATTACTGCAGTCAGCATGCCAATTGCACGCTCCCTCAAAACTTGAGACATCTGTGGCATTGTGTTGTGTGACAAAACTGCACATTTTAGAGTGGCCTTTTATTGTCCCCAGCACAAGGTGCACCTGTGTAACGATCATGCTGTTTAATCAGCTTCTTAATATGCCACACCTGTCAGGTGTATGGATTATCTTGGCAAAGGAGAAATTCTCACTAACAGGGATGTAAACAAATTTGTGCACAACATTTGAGAGAAATAAGCTTTTTATGCATATGGAACATTTCTGGGATCTTTTATTTCAGCTCATGAAACATGGGACCAACACTTCACATGTTGCGTTTATATTTTTGTTCAGTATATGTTTCTGTGAGGCCCCTTGAAAAGTAGTTTTCCCTTTCTTGGAATGGTCAGAAATGCCTTGTTAAATGACCCATGTCTAAACCCAATTACATGCACCATTCTACCAGGAGTTGACAATGTGTGAGATGTCAACAAGTCAGACTGTCAATATAATGGTGATGCCCCCAGGGTAGTAAATGAGAGAGTTGAGTGTCTCATTGAAAATGCTTTTTAATGTATTTAACTTGAGTTGAAAGTCGAATACTGTACCATTAGAAATTTATCGGAGTTATCAAAACTTTGTTCTGCATGCTAGCAGTTTTGAAGCGGTAGCCTAATGTGAAAACCATGTACCTGCGCAGTGCATGCTCTCACTATACATCTTCATCACATCGAGATGTGAGAAACATTCTCCCCAGGTGGAAAGCTGGGTGGTATTTGTTAGGCAGCAAACGGTAGAAAGCGGACTGAAACAGGCAGGGACTACCTGAACTTGTCCAATAACAAACGCTCGTTTAAATTTTCTGTTGCTAAACGTTTTGCTGTGGTGTGCCTGTGCCCTAATGAATACGAGACAGGATTTCACACTGCTAACTTCACTGAACTTCGCTGCCGAGCTAACATGCTATGAAAAAGTAATGTAGCGTAAAAGGGTTGCCAGAGATGACTGTAATCCCGCTTTATGAATTGTATTTTTCTCTACAGTGAAAGAAGTAAGGCATGAAGAAAGCATCCTAGTCAACAGTCATGGCTGATAAAAGGAAACTTCAAGGTGAGGTTACCAAATGGTCGACCAGATGGTACCACCTGCCAATGATCCACCACCCAGTCCATCACTATAGTCCCTCCCTGCATTCATATTTTCTCTATGAAGCATGTCTATCCAACAGACGAAATGTCACTTAATTTCTCCATCCATTCAAGAGATTTACCTCTTCATCCTAAATCTGGCAAGCTTCAGCGCAGTATAGTGCACTCCGCTTATTGTGATCAAATTGACCTGCACGGATGTGATCGCAGTAAGAGAAGTGCTGCACTGTATTACTGAAAAGGGTTGTGACGCCAAACAAAAGAAGCCAGAAGCAACATTTAGGAGTAAGGATGCATAAGGCCAAAGTCAGACATAATCTGCAGAGACAACCTTCTTAAATTAAGACTACCGCACCCCGTTGCCAGTGCCTGTGGCATTGCATTTTTAACCCGGTTTGGGGTGACACATGTAGCTTTTACTGTATTTATCTTTGATGAGGCTGCCAGCCACAGTTAAAAAAGCGATGCTGCTTATGGGGAGAGGGAGAGAGCCGCATTTGGACTTTACATTATTCAGCCTGATGTGATGCGTCTTGAAGGATTTTTTAGCCATGGCTCTCTTTCCCAAATCTCCATTTTATTCTATGCCCTTCTCCAGGTGAAATAGATCGATGTTTGAAAAAAGTAACGGAAGGCGTGGAACAGTTTGAAGACATTTGGCAAAAGGTAACAGCCATATCTCGTTTTAATTTTGAAAGAATGTTGTGTGTTGATCTGAAAATATGTGCTAACTGGGCACAGATATGTAAGTTAAGCGCTACCACCCCAGCACTTTGGTTGTTGGAATGTTTTGTGCTGACCTTAAAGGTCCACCAAATTATTCAACGTTTAACATCCGTTGTATATGCAGGGTCTTAAATACTGCAGCACGCCTTGTTTGGTGGGATTGTAGCCATTATTATTCACGGCCGTGGGGATAGAAAGGAAACCGTTTGTTAGTGTGTTCTGTAAAGCAAAAGAACACATTTTAAAGCCACATTCCTGAGTTTGTGTTTCGGCCCAATGGCAGCCCCGCCACTTGATTTGATGTAAAGTTGGGGGATGATGAGACTGGAGGGGATGTAGGCTAATCACTCAAATGTATAGACCGAGGCAAAGCTATGAATGCTAGGATTGACAGTCCATGAGATTTGAATTTGACACACTAGTTTTAGACATATTTTTAAGCTATAGGCGACATTGTTTACAAAGACTTTATATGAAACATGTTTGGGAAGAGTTACTGATTGTCTGAGTGTAATCTGTATGACTGTACCCCTCCAAACCACAGCTTCACAATGCAGCCAATGCTAACCAGAAGGAAAAGTATGAAGCCGACCTCAAGAAAGAGATTAAAAAACTACAGGTGGGATACAGACAACGCTATTGTTCTCAACTGTTATGTGGCTTGAGGACATGGTTTTGGGACGTTCCTCAAATGTCAAAACAATGTTTGTTTACTAGTTTTGTATGGTTTAGCCGTGTGTGCACGTGCATGCAGACATGTATGTGTTGATTATTAAATACGATGAGGGTCAGCTATCCTTAAAACCAAGCAAAAGCATCTGTGTGTGCACTTTGTGTTTGTTTCTGAACGTGTCCATGTGGACCAAACTTATGTGCGTCAACCATACTTGAGCTCACAGGGCAAGCCACAGCATGCTTTCACTAAGACAACTTATGTCTCTTTCTTTCTTTCTCGCTTTGTTCCTCTCCTCCTCCTTCATCCTCCAGCGTCTTCGAGATCAGATCAAGACGTGGGTGGCCTCCAACGAGATCAAAGACAAAAGGCAGCTAGTGGAGAATCGCAAACTCATTGAGACGGTAAGTGTGTGAAACACATGTTCATTAGCCGCATACTGAGAAAACCCTTGGTATAAACACCTGTGCTTAGCAGGGCTTACCAAGCCACAGTGCGTTGATGAGGTTATTCAGACAGCTTCAATGACCGCACCTGCTAACACAATGAGATAGATGTGTCATCTTGTCCTCTGGCTCTAGGGTCTTGTATCTAAGTGTGATCCTCTGTGTGGTTTTGGTTGACCTGAAATGTGGTGCTACTGAGCCAAAAATACATGGGATGATGTTGAAAAGCACACTTGTATATCAAGAGTCTTGATGTGACTTTTGTATTGTGGTGATCAGCCAATACAAATTGAGACGCAAACAGTGGTGACGTTTGATAATATTACCTTTTTGTGTGTATTCATGTCAAAGCGATGTTCATTGTGAATACCATATCTCTGTTAGCAGTAAGGTTTATCAGGGGAAGGCAACTAGATTCAGCCGTGGGGCGATTTCTGTCAGAGCGGATGGTTGGGGCCGGAACATATTTATAATAATTTGTACACTGCAAATTGACCACAACTAAGCCCCAAAATATTTTTATTTGAAAATAACAATCATTTCATACCTTGATTACATTGAGACACAGTCACATCTCTTTTATTTTTTTTATTCGTGGGAATACTTGGGAACATATCTTTTTTTACTTTGGGGGTACAAATAAAATCACTTGCGGGCCGGTTTTGGTCCGCTGGCCGCCTGTTGCCAACCCCTGGTTTATATTGAGTCTACTGCAGTTCTTTAATCATCTGCATTTCATACCTGTGACACTTTGCTTAGCTAAGGGCAATTCCACGGTTAACTCCATTTCTCACTTTTAAAATGTATGCCAAACAAAAACCATTGATTTCCAAGTTTAACAAACCGTACACCTCTATGCACAAGGACTACTTTTAACAATTTCCACTGAAAAATTTACAAAAACGAATTTAGTGGAAGAACTGTGCAGATGCCAACTTTGATAATGGAATTACAGTAAAATCTCAGGTTGTGTGACCACGTTTTCCAAAAACTCTTAAGTATCTGCTCCGAATTAAAATTCAAAGATGTCTGCAAAAAGAATTGTGTGTCAGCTATTTTTAACCTTTATTTAACTAGGCAAGTCAGTTATGAACAAATTCTTATTTACAATGACGGCCTACACCAGCCAAACCCGGACGACGCTGGGCCAATTGTGCGCCGCCCTATGGGACTCCCAATCACGGCCGATTGTGATACAGCCTGGAATCGAACCAGGGGGTCTGTAGTGACACCTCATGCACTGAGATGCAGTACCTTAGACCACTGCGCCACTCGGGAGCCCGAGCTATGGCATTGAACTACAGTAAGTGAAGTGGCTTTACACCCGGTAACAGAATTACATCATGGATCGCTGATCTGTACTACATAGAAATGCATAGTTATGGATATGAATATCATTCTCATGTTTTATCAGTTTGGACTGCACAGTAGAGTACAGTACAATACAGCAGAGTTCAGTGCAGTAGAGTATAGTACAGTACAATATACTGTACGCTACTTTTCTTTACTGTATTGTACTCACTGTACTGTCCAAATTTGTGAAACATACGTCTATGATAGGTACAGATTTGGTCCGGTCCGTCTGTAGACGTTAACATCAAGGCCAGGGTGAATTGATCAAATTTCAACTACTTTTCAACGTCCACGGACATCCAGTGTCGGTCGGTGCTCAGTGGGTGAGGATGCTGGTTCAAGTAAATGGAAAGAGGGGGCTCATAGGTAGGTGTCAGTAAGAGCTGGGAGAGGTGGCATTAACCTGGAGAGGGAGGGAGATAGGCAGAGAGACGGGGAGGGGTTGTCCAGACTTAGACTGTTTTAACACTCTTGGTTTGACCACCAGACAACAGAAAGACAAAGAAAACAGTTGTGAGCTGAACATAATTCCATTACAGATTTTTTTGGTAATTCCGTTACCAATTTGGTAACCGAATTACGAGTTTGAATCACTTAATTCATAAACAAAAGTGATATCAGTAAAATCACTATAACTTATTGGTAAGAGAAATGAGAAAATATCTTTAAGAAATGTGTGTTTTTGGTAACGGAATCACAAGGCAATATTTCTTAAACTTACAGATGGTAAACAATTTCTCCCAAACGAAATATGTGTTTATTAGTTGGCGTGGGTCTTTACCTCAACATTGTGTTTTGATGTATTTCTAATACCTTTTAAGACTTGCTGGTGTTCTAAAGACCCCTTTTCCTTCTGTTTGTCCAGAAATCAAAGCTTTTACTTATGTCAAATTTTTAAGATTGAAAATGGTTGAATGCCGTAATTTCCCAAAAATACAGACTCTTCGCTTTCATTTGACACCCAATTTGATATGCTCTTATGCAGGGTTGGGGTCAATTTCATTTTAATTCTAGTCAATTCAGAAATAAACGCAATTCCAATTAGAAATGTTCCTAATTGAAAAGCATTGACGAGAATTGGAATATAAATTTCAGTGTACTTCCTGAATTGACTGCAACTGAAATGGAATTGACCCCAATCCTGCTATGAATTTCACATGTTGGCGCTCATGGGTCCTTTTCGATGGAAATGCCTCTAAGCATAATGTGCTACTTTTTTTTTTTGCAGGCTTTTTTTCCTCAGCTTGGCACTCAACTTCTAGACTCAGCCAATAACTACATCACTTTAACAAGGGAGGAAAACTGATCACTGTTAGTCAAAACTATGTCATCACCATATCCCAATTTATGGTCCACAGATATGATAAACGAAGGAAGTTGCCCCATAGCACTTATTGAAGGCTCAGCTTGTCTTGTTTGTCCTTCAATACGTATTGTAGTATTGAGGTAGGGTCCTAGGTATTTACAGTAATGGGGCGACACCTGTTCAAAGCAGGCAGTTTGCCACTTTGTCTCTGTCCCAAATGACAATAGTGTACTATTTAGAATGTACCCTTCAGGTTCCAGTTCCGCAGAGCCCTACCTTGATCTATATGAAAGATTCATCAGTCCACTCTAGTGCTGAGGTGGATAAAGAAAAAAACAGCGGAGACTCCGTCCACAGCCAGGCCCCCCTCAGGAGAACAGTTAGCCACATTAAAAACATTTAGCAAATAGTCACTGCTCTGCTAAGCATTCACAGGCTTCATGCCAGAGTTTTAATTTAGCTTCTTGTTATGCTGTTAACAGATTAACACAGGGGGACTATCAGTCTTATACATAGGTACTGCTGGCATGCTCTTGTGTGGATGACGATTATTACTACACTTACTGTGGCTGCTGACTTCTAGGGAAATGCATTGAAACAATGTTCCGTGTTAGGCTGGGTTTACGCGTCTCCAATCATTCTCCTTAGCAAAACGTCATACAAATTCTGGCATGCACCAAAATCTCTGTGAACTCTGCTTGTGGAAGTCACAGAAGTTGTGGAGCCTCTTCTGAGAACACCTAGTGGAGTGTATCCAGCATTACTGGTCAAGGAAGCTCACACAGGTGTCAAAACTTAGTAATCACTGGCCTGATTGGGAGATCTGTACCTGCTGCAGTCATTCTGAACCATTATATTGAAGGATGGCTTTAATTGGTGAGGACTCTGTGTCAATCTCCACCCACAGTGCCCAGCATGCACACGGTCAGTAGGTCTGAAATGGCAAGGTATTATCTGAACTTGCCCAATAAAAAAAACGCTCCCTTTCGTTTTCCGTTGAATAACATTTCAAAATGTTTTACTACGGTGTGTCCTAATTCCCTATCACGACCCTATTTTGATCGCCAACTAGTCCAATGCTTTGACGTGAGCAGTTGGAAACATCTGCTTTCACAAGCCCAAAGTTTTTATCTCTGGCATAGCTAGCATATGGTCAGCCAATTGACTCTCAAAGAAAACCTGTCACCTGTAGTGATTTATAAACCAATTCCTGCTGTCTCCCCCTTTAGCAAATGGAGCGGTTCAAGATAGTGGAGCGAGAGACCAAGACAAAGGCGTACTCGAAAGAGGGGCTGGGCCTGGCACAGAAGGTGGACCCGGCCCAAAGGGAGAAGGAGGAGGTCGGCAATTGGCTAACGGTGAGCACTACTTTTGATTTGAAACCTTTACCCCGAAGGGAATTTGTTTCACACAACATGAGCTCATTTCTATTGGCAATAATGTGGTCTGATGACATGACAATAATGACTTAGGGATTTCATCATGCAAGCTAGGCCTATTCATCGCACTGCACTTTGTTTTCAAAGTAGATTGGACTTGTTAAATGTCCAAATCTGCATTTGTTTTACATTTGCTTTACTGCATAGTTTCTAGGGCAGGGACGATACCAGTATCGTAATATTTTTTCCATGGCAAAAATGAAAACACGAAGCAGACAACTCTTTAGTCCTTTAAAAACCTGCTGTATGTAAAATATTGTGTGCTTTAGCTTAGGAAATGTTTGTTTCCAACATTAGGGCTGTTTTCCCAAATAACTTAAATCCGCTTTGTGTTTTGTTTCCTTGCCACGATACTGGTATCGTCCCAGCCTTAATAGTTTCACCTATGAAATAGGTGTTGGTGTTTGTATGGACCACACTGCATAATGACTGTGGTTCTGGTGTGATTATGGCTGTTGTGTTGGTTTAAATCATTGAATGATATCTTGGCTGTCGTCCATCAGAATACGATAGACACTCTGAACATGCAGGTGGACCAGTTTGAGAGCGAAGTGGAGTCCCTCTCAGTCCAGACTCGCAAGAAGAAGGGAGACAAAGAGGTCAGTAGTCCTTTTGCTGCACCATATGTTATCTACACTACATTACCAAAAGTATGTGGACACCTGCTCGTCGAACATCCCATTCCAAAATCATGGGCAGTAATATGGAGTTGGTCCCCCCTTTGCTACTATAACAGCCTCCACTCTTCTGGGAAGGCTTTCCACTAGATGTTGGAACATTGCTGGGGGGACTTGCTTCCATTCAGGCACAAGAGCATTAGTGAGGTCGGGCACTGATGTTGGGCGATTAGGCCTGGCTCGCAGTCGGCGTTCCAATTCATCCCAAATGTGTTCGATGGGGTTGAGGTCAGGGCTCTGTGCAGGCCAGTCAAGTTCTTCCACACTGATCTCGACAAACCATTTCTGTATGGACCTCGCTTTGTGCAAGGGGGCTTTGTCGTGCTGAAACAGGAAACGGCCTTCCCCAAACTGTTGCCACAAAGTTGGAAGCACAGAATCGTCTAGAATGTCATTGTATGCTGTAGCGTTAAGATTTCCCTTCACTGGAACTAAGGGCCTAGCCCGAACACTGAAAAACAGCCTCAGACCATTATTTCTTCTCCACCAAACTTTATAGTTGGCACTATGCATTGGTGCAGGTAGTGTTCTCCTGGCATCCGCCAAACCTAGATTTGTCCGTTGGACTGCCAGATGATGAAGGGGGATTCGTCACTCCAGAGAACACGTTTATACTGCTCCAGAGTCCAATTGCGGCGAGCTTTATACCGCTCCAGCCGACGCTTGGCATCGGCAGTCCCGTTCTGTGAGCTTGTGTGGCCTACCACTTCGCGGCTCAGCCGTTGTTGCTCTCAGACATTTCCATTTCACAATAACAGCACTTACAGTTGACCGGGGCAGCTCTAGCAGGGCAGAAATGTGATGTACTGACTTGTTGGAAAGGTGGCATCCTATGACTGTGTCACGTTGAAAGTCACTGAGCTCTTCAGTAAGGCCATTCTACTGCCAATGTTTGTCTTTGGAGATTGCATGGCGTTGTGCTCGATTCTTATACACCTGTCAGCAACGGGTTTGGCTGAAATAGCCGAATCCACTCATTTGAAGGGGTGTCCACATACTTTTGTGTGTATATATAGTGTATCTTCTCCTCCATATCTTGCTCTCCTCCGTCTCTCTCTGTTTTCTTCCATACTTAAGTCTTTTCTCTTTAGATGATGTCATTCTAACTCTAAATTCATCTCTCATCCTATGTGTCTCTTTATTTTCTCGGCACGCTGCATTATCCAATGCACCTAATGTAAAGTAGGTACCATCTGTTTTCCACTTCCATGCCTCCACACATACATATAGTACATTCTGCACTGAGATTGTTAGCCCAAGCATACATTGAGTTTTAAGCATAAACTTACACGCGCATCTCTGCTATAGAAACAGGACCGCATCGAAGAGCTGAAGCGCTTTATCGAGAAGCACCGGTACCACATCCGGATGCTGGAGACCATCCTGCGCATGCTGGACAACGACACCTTGCCGGTGGATTCCATCCGCAAGATCAAGGACGACGTGGAGTACTACATGGACTCGTCGCAAGACCCCGACTTCGAGGAGAACGAGTTCCTCTACGACGACCTGGATCTGGAGGAACTCCGTAAGTGCTGCTTCATCGTGGCGTTGTCGCGATACTCAGTATCACACTACTGATACGACAAAGTACAAGGAAACAAAACATGAAGCGGACTAAATTTCCTGAGGAAACCGTCTGATGTTGGAAACAGTCACCCAAAGTCACATTTGTTAGTTTTGTCACGTTATAGCACACACAGTATTTGACCTAAAGCCAGTTATTAAAGGACCATAGAGTATTTCCATGGCAAAAGCCATGGAAAGAGTATCGGTAGTATCGATACTGTGTCGACACATCACTACTCTGTGTGTGTGTTTATTCCTGAATGTGCGTATGTACTGCATATCTTAGACCCCATGTGTGTATAATTTATGATGGCTTGGTTATTGCAATACTGTACGTTCTATCATTTCTGTTCATGTTGTCTCTGTATAATTGCCCACTTAACTTTTTCTATATGCAACTTTTTGTTTTTATGTAGCTACCTCTCCCTCTGTCTCCCCCCATCCATCTCTTGTCTCTCTAGCCGGGTCGCTGGTGGCCATGTCCCCACCGGGCCAATCGCTCCTGGACGACGATCTCTTCCATCAGATCTCCAGCGGCACGCCTACCTCCACCACTTCCTCCTCGCCCGTCCCCGCCCCTTACACTACGGTGAGGAAACCCCCCCCCCCCCCCCCCCCCCCCCCCCCCCCCCCCCCCGTTGGTTCTGACTACTTCTCACTTCAGTCTCCATTGTATCCCCTACTTGCTCTCCCATGCTTTACAGCCACCCACTCTCATGCTGTACTGTAACAGTATAGTAATTAGGTCTTGTGAATGTTGAATGCTCCCGGGTTGGAGTGGGTGCTCGGTGGTCCCTCGCTCTCAGCTCAGAGGGGGTTTAGAGAAACAAGGATGAAAGGGAGCGGATTAGGAAGATGTTGAAGTATGATTTGAAGTTTGTATTGAGCCTCAAAATGAACAGCACTTGAATTAATTTAGGTACAAAACATATGTTGTCGCATGCAAACCCTGTTTTGCATTGAATTAGAACCGGTGGTCATGGCTCGGTCCTTATTGGAGATCTTTTGTTTTTTTCTCCAGGAGAACTCTGAAGATGACAAGAAAAGGGGACGTTCGACAGACAGTGAAATCAGTCAGGTAAGATGAATTCCAATGTAAACAGTGCTGTCTGAGTCATGCATTTTGTTGGGTCTTTGGTCTTCAAAACTGCGCAACTTTCCATCTATATACTTTCAGCTGTGCTGCACCAGAAGTGGTTTTGAAGTATGTATTTTATTCCATTTCAGTCGCCTGTCAAGAATGGCAACCCCTCTTCGTCGTTATCTTCCTCCTCCTCATCTTCCTCCTCGTCCTCCTCCTCTTCATCATCTGCCTCCTCGGGAGCCTCCTCGGGAGCCGCCTCTTCCTCGCTGGGCTCTATGGCGACCATCGCCGGAGGCGGCCAGGCCATCACTGGGGGCAACAACAACAGCCTTCTGGGCAACATGGGGGGTCTCCTCTCCAACTCTGGCAGCTACAGCAACGCCACCCAGCAGCAGCTGCAGCAACTGCAGCAGCATCACCAAACCCAGCAGGCCAGAAACTCAGTCATCTCCTCCAACGCCCCCTCCAACTCCAACCCCAGCCCGTCGAACAACATCCTCCTCTCCAGCCCCTCCGCCTCCTCGCCCGCCAACTCTAGCACAACCCTCACACCCAACACCCTGCAGCAGGCTCCGTCAAGGCCTTCTCCTGCCTCCACCTTGGGGCTCGGGTTGGGCTTGGGCCTTGGTAAAGGCGGCATGAGTGGGTCACCGGCCGTCAGCCAGATGTCGGGCCTTGGCCTGTCAGGGATGCCGGCGTCCTTAAACACCATGGCCGGGCTCCTGGCGGGCTCCACTTCGGCCCCCTACGCCACAGCAGCAGCAGGCTCCGGAACCATCGGAAGCCCCCTAGCAGGGAAAATCAGCAGCGTGAGCACTAGCAGCACTAACTCCAGCACAGTGGGACTGGTGAGCGGAAACGGCGTCAGCGACAGATCCGCAGGCCTGTTGGGCTCTTCAGTTGGTGTCAGCGGTGGGATCCTGGGCCTCAGTGGCCTTAGCTCAGGGCAGTCGGCAGTCCAGGGCCCTCCCCTGGTGGCCCCCAGTCCCATAGGAGGAGGCCTGGCCCCTGGAAGCAGCCTGGGAGCCATAGGAAACATTGGAGGGAACTCTGGTTCAGGAGCACCAAGCAACAGTGTGGGCATCGTAGGAGGAAGTGCGGCGGTCGGAAGGCTGCCCGGTGGACAGAAGCAGAATGGTAGCACTAGTAAGCTTGAATTACTATCCCTTATTTGTGAATTTTGTTTTATTTATAGTAGTTGTTCAACCCAGAATTGGGTTGTACAGATTATAAGGTAGACCAAACCAAATATTATCAAAGTTATGTTTTAGTTTGTATGCCTCCCTCTCAATCTGCTCTGTCCCAGGTTACAGTGCTGTAGTAGCAGACAGCACACCAGATTCCGCCCTCAACAGTACCAGCAAATTACAAAGCAGCCAACCCTCGTCTTTGACCTCCACCACCAATCAGCCGTGAGTAAAACATTTTTTTTTTTAATCCTATAGTATCTTGTATTGTGAATATCACTGTATACAATGTGTATGGTCAGAATTATTCAAACTCACTTAAAACCAAATCAATCAATGTCTCTCCCACCCACCCAGTAAAGACAGTGGCCCCAGCCTCTTAGGGTCCTCGTCGTCCTACATTGAGAGTAAACCTCCAGGCAGCAGTATGCTCAACGGGCCACTCTCCTACACACAGTCCTCTGAAAGCATGAAGGTGAGAAAAACACAAGGAGCTTCATGTAAAAATGACCCTGGCCTTAGACATTGTCTAGGATCAACCCCAAATACTAACCTGAGCCATTACGGGGAGAACTTCTTGGGACTTTTTCCTGATATCTCACCCAGTTGGTTTAACCCCTTTCGCACTTTCAGCCCCAGGAGCCTCTGAGCACTGTGAAGTCCATGGCCGAACAAGCGGCACTGGGCTCAGGAATGGAGGGAGAGATGCCCGCTCTGCACCTCACCACAGGTGAGCAACCGACTGGACGTAAAGACTCAAAATTGGGCCATGGGATCAGTCTTGGAATGAGACCAGTTGGTTGGAATCTATTGATATACAGTGGGGAGAACAAGTATTTGATACACTGCCGATTTTGCAGGTTTTCCTACTTACAAAGCATGTAGAGGTCTGTAATTTTTATCATTGGTACACTTCAACTGTGAGAGACAGAATCTAAAACAAAAATCCAGAAAATCACATTGTATGATTTTTAAGTAATTAATTTGCATTTTATTGCATGACATAAGTATTTGATCACCTACCAACCAGTAAGAATTCCGGCTCTCACAGACCTGTTAGTTTTTCTTTAAGAAGCCCTCCTGTTCTCCACTCATTACCTGTATTAACTGCACCTGTTTGAACTCGTTACCTGTATAAAAGACACCTGTCCACACACTCAATAAAACAGACTCCAACCTCTCCACAATGGCCAAGACCAGAGAGCTGTGTAAGGACATCAGGGATAAAATTGTAGACCTGCACAAGGCTGGGATGGGCTACAGGACAATAGGCAAGCAGCTTGGTGAGAAGGCAACAACTGTTGGCGCAATTATTAGAAAATGGAAGAAGTTCAAGATGACAGTCAATCACCCTCGGTCTGGGGCTCCATGCAAGATCTCACCTCGTGGGGCATCAATGATCATGAGGAAGGTGAGGGATCAGCCCAGAACTACACGGCAGGACCTGGTCAATGACCTGAAGAGAGCTGGGACCACAGTCTCAAAGAAAACCATTAGTAACAAACTACGCCGTCATGGATTAGAATCCTGCAGGTCCCCCTGCTCAAGCCAGCGCATATCCAGGCCCGTCTGAAGTTTGCCAATGAAGATCTGGATGATCCAGAGGAGGAATGGGAGAAGGTCATGTGGTCTGATGAGACAAAAATAGAGCTTTTTGGTCTAAACTCCACTCGCCGTGTTTGGAGGAAGAAGAAGGATGAGTACAACCCCAAGAACACCATCCCAACCGTGAAGCATGGAGGTGGAAACATCATTCTTTGGGGATGCTTTTCTGCAAAGGGGACAGGACGACTGCACCGTATTGAGGGGAGGATGGATGGGGCCATGTATCGCGAGATCTTGGCCAACAACCTCCTTCCCTCAGTAAGAGCATTGAAGATGGGTCGTGGCTGGGTCTTCCAGCATGACAACGACCCGAAACACACAGCCAGGGCAACTAAGGAGTGGCTCCGTAAGAAGCATCTCAAGATCCTGGAGAGGCCTAGCCAGTCTCCAGACCTGAACCCAATAGAAAATCTTTGGAGGGAGCTGAAAGTCCGTATTGCCCAGCGTCAGCCCCGAAACCTGAAGGATCTGGAGAAGGTCTGTATGAAGGAGTGGGCCCAAATCCCTGCTGCAGTGTGTGCAAACCTGGTCAAGACCTACAGGAAACGTATGATATCTGTAATTGCAAACAAAGGTTTCTGTACCAAATATTAAGTTCTGCTTTTCTGATGTATCAAATACTTATGTCATGCAATAAAATGCAAATGAATTACTTAAAAATCATACAATGTGATTTTCTGGATTTTTGTTTTAGATTCCGTCTCTCACAGTTGAAGTGTACCTATGATAAAAATTACAGACCTCTACTTGCTTTATAAGTAGGAAAACCTGCAAAATCGGCAGTGTATCAAATACTTGTTCTCCCCACTGTATCTTCCAGTTTACAACAAGAACATCATGTAGTGTGCCAAATGTTGCTGACTGGGAGACTTTCTAAACACCTTTCAATTATTTATGGTATTATTACTGGGCGGCAGGTAGCCTAGTGGTTAGAGCATTGGGGCAGTAACTGAAAGGCCGCTCGTTCGAATACCCGAGCCGACAAGGTGAAAAATCTGTCGATATGCCCTTGAGCAAGGCACTTAACCCTAATTTGCCCCAGGGGCTCCTACTATGGCAGCCCCTGTAAAACAACACATTTCACTGTACCTATGTGACAATAAAACACTTTTTTTTTGGGGGGGGGGGCTTTCAGACCAGAGACTCCTTTTTTCTAACTCTCTTTTCTCTCTGTGGCTTCAGACATTTTCCCCAGCGCTACAGCCCCCCCGGGGCCTCCCTCGGCCCCCCAGCAGCCCTCGCTCTCAGAGGTCAGCATCCCCCCATCGCTGGGTGTGTGCCCGCTGGGGCCCGTGCCCCTGTCCAAAGACCAGCTGTACCAGCAGGCCATGCAGGAGTCGGCCTGGACACACATGCCCCATCCCTCCGACTCAGAGAGGATCAGGTACGAACATATATGCAATCTGAAGCCACAAAGTGTCTCCAGGGTTGAATCTCAAAAGGCTTCCCTCTTACACTTTGGCTAGGAGAGAGGACATGAGGAATCAAGTAAAATACTTTTGCGATTCGCCCCAGGCCTCCATTTGGGGGATTTCTGTATCACTTCTGTGCACTGTTGCTTTCGTGTAGATTTTTTTTCCTTAGCATTTCTCCATGTATTCATCCCCTATTGTGACTGTTTCGGTCCTCCAGGCAGTACCTGATGAGGAACCCGTGCCCCACCCTGCCTTTCCACCACCAGGTGCCGCCCCCCCACTCCGACTCTGTAGAGTTCTACCAGAGACTGTCCACAGAGACACTGTTCTTCATCTTCTACTACCTAGAGGTGTGTGTGTGCTTGTGACAAAACAAGCTTTACTGTGTGACTGAGACGCTGATCATGTTCATGGTTTGACTTTTGATGAGAAAGATGGCGATCTGTATTGTTTGTCTTCAGGCCATGTCATGTTTTGGTTGTGCACATAATAGTAGCATATTCCCTTCTGCGTTCTCTCCACAGGGCACTAAGGCCCAGTATCTGGCAGCCAAGGCCTTGAAGAAGCAGTCGTGGCGGTTCCACACCAAGTACATGATGTGGTTCCAGAGGCACGAGGAGCCCAAGACCATCACAGATGAGTTTGAGCAGGTGAGCTCGGCCCCCCTCCACACACTGCAGACTCCTTGGACCGCAACCTGGGTCGTGTTCATTAGGCACCAAACGGAAGAAAGCGACTTGTCCAATAATAAAACACATTTGTTTTCCGATGCAAAATGTTATCCGTTGCATGCTCCGTTGAAATATTGTTTCTCTGTCGATTAACCCATATTTGAAGATTTTAGTCAGATTTTTAAGGATTTTCACTGACATTGCTGTGCTTTTTCCAATGTCTTTTAAAGGGGACGTACATTTACTTTGACTACGAGAAGTGGGGCCAGCGGAAGAAGGAAGGATTCACGTTTGAGTACAGGTACCTTGAAGACCGAGACCTCCAGTGACATAAGGCAGAGAAGGAGAATAAAAGAAGGGTGGACTACTGTCGACATTCCTGGATTGAACTCAACACACTGGGAAGAGGGACGGATGCAGACGCGAGACTGAGCCAGTCTTAGCAGAGCATAATGCATTTGGAGCTCCTCCCTCTTTGCCCTGCGAAGCCACACCCCTACAGTGATAAACCCCTCCCCTTTTCCCCATCAGGCCGTTTTGATTTAGACTGACTCTTTTAATCTCTTACCTGAACTGGATCCCCTTTTTTTTTGGCAGATAAGAAAATCATGATTTCATATGTTTGGTTGATAATGCACTCTGTATTCTGTGTATATATATATTTTTTCTTCAAAACTCACCTACCACTCATTGACAGAACCAAAGATGATTGGTCAAATCCGTCTTAATTCCTAGCAGTATGGCAGTCCAATTTCAAAAAAGAAGTGACAAGGCACAGAGAAAGGCCAATCAAATGAGCCCTTGGGGGATGTTGGGGGGGGGGGGGTCCAAAGCCTAAAGCGTTTCACAGCAGTCAGGTCATCGCTGGGTTGTACACAAGCTAAAGCCTAGATTGTAAACGGTAGCATTTCCATGCTACAATAAGGGCTTATTGGGGTGACTCCATGTTTTTATCCCTAATGAATAGACTCTTCGGGGTCACCAGCCCCACCCTAATGTTAAACTAATAGCTGCCTCTTGGGTACACCCAGCATTGACCACACTGCCATAAAGATTGCTATAGTACAACATGGTAACCCATTCCTCCATTCATTCCTATCCCAAGTTACAACATTACGTTTCTATTGCTGTGGTCAACAGCAACAGAAACCACACCAGCACTGAAGCGTCTCGTCTGTAGAGAAAGTTTACAGGTGTTTTAACCTAAGAGGTGGGCTTTTACAATAAAACTCAAGGCTGCCCTAGTAATAACAATTCATTATTTTTGTTTCCGTCACTTTGATAATAATGTACAAATCAGTTGTGATTGCACTTCCAAATTCACTTCAACCACCAGGTAGATATTTCATTTTCTCAGGATGTGTTTGATGGATCATTATGTGAGGAAATATACTATGTCAGAAGCTCCATCATTGCAACACAAAAAACCCCACAGAAATCAGACTGACACCCCTGGGCAATTTTGTTTTGTCTGCCCCAACAAGGTTTTCTATTCCCCTTTAATGGCCATTCTTTTCATTTCTATAAGGCTTTTAAAAAATAGTATCCTCCAATGTTTGGAGTGCAATCTTAAGTTTTTCATTTTCGTTTGCCTATGTCTCAGCGATGGAAAGCGTTTAAATTCTAAAGAGTGAGACCAAGTTTTTTAAAGAGAACTTGTCGGGGCACCATTCACTGACAAGCCTGCTGTTTTTAATGTTATCTTTACCTATTTGGCGAGCGGAAGGGAAGAGAAGTCATCCAGAGGCGAAATGTGAATCTCTCTGTATAGACTTCCATTTTCATCCTTTTTGTTTGTCGTTGTCTTCTGGACAGCATGACACTTGTAAGGTGGAGCTGAGAAAAAATGCAGTAAATATGAACCATAATCATGAATAAAGGATTGTAAAATATTAATAAAATAATTACTTTTCAGAAGTATTGTTTGTTTAATCATTCATAAACCTTTTGGTGAGCGCCTTAAATGTGGGTAGAATTTTAAAGCAGACGTATAATGCATTATTATTTGTTATAACAGTACTACAGTATTACTACAGTAA